TGAAGCGCTTTTTAATCTCTTCGTCAAATTCAACCTTCCCCAAGTCTTCGCCCTTACATGCCTACAGGTCAAATGTGAGCACAAAAGGTCATTTCAAACTACAGATATCGACAGGTGTGCATCCCTACAAGTTCACTTTAATTCACACAGATTCATCAGCTCATTCAGGTGGATGAGCACCAATTAACCACAGTGGTGTTCTCCGCCCCAACACCCACGCCTGGGAAACTTTAAGAGGAACTAAAGGTTCATTCGGGGTCCATCAGTTCTTCTTCCTGGACGGCAGCCCCAGATTAAAAAATAAGGCAAAATCATTCATTTCACAAACCAAAAACAACAGCTCTTCTTTATTTTACACAACTATAAAACCATTCATTCTTGTTGGGCATCACCACCCAGTTCTGCTGTATCTCCATGTTGTTATGTCTTAAAACAGTGAACAAAAAACACTGTTTGCATTAGCAGCTTTTTATTTATTTTTTTAATTTTGGCTTTAAAATTCTGACATATTCGACTAATCAGACATTTAGTGATGCCACGCCCTGAAATCTCCTTCACTTATCCTCCCACCTATGAAGACCAATAAAGACCAAGATAAGAGCACATCCCATATCCTAATATCGTAATATCTTAATCATTAATGCCAGAGTGTGTGGTTTACCTTTAGGACGTCCCAGAAAGCCACATTGTTGTTAGTGTCTTTGGTGAGTATGTGTCTTTTGTCATTCAGAATGTGGCACTGAATAATACTGGCACCTCCTGCAACATCAACAGCGCTGTTAGTTAACAAGGGAAAAGAGATTTGGAGGATTGTATAATTTCACATAAAAAAGAAACAAAAAACAAAAGTACCCTTGATGACTTGTTCTGGCTGAGTACACAGTGGTGTCAGAGGGGTGGTGCAGTCGTTGTCATACTCTCCGGATGATCTGAAGTTGTGCATTCCCTTTAGAGACTAAACACACACCAAAAAAACAAAAACTTTTAATAACTGCTTCCCCACTCCTTGTTCATCTCTTTTGTAATACAGAATTACAAAGCTGCTTTTAAACTTTAAATGAACTGCAGATGAATTATGGCTGAACACAGTTAGGTGTGGCCACATGAACAACCCTCTATCTATACTTCACTACACTGACAGTGGATCACTGATCTCAGAGGTGTCCATGCTCCACAGTTCAAAAATAATGCTTATTTAT